CTTCCCCTTCCAGCCATCGTGGCAGGCGCAGTAGAAGTCATTGACCAGGTCGTAGCAGCGGCCCCGGCTGTGGCAGGGGTCAGGGAGGCAGTCGTTGGGATCTGGGGGGAGGATGCTGGTCAGCAGGGGTTCACCGGCGCTGGGGGGCTTTGGGAAGAGAGCAAGAGCCGGAGCAGGTGTGGCACATCAGAGCCAGGCGGGAAGGGGGTTGAGCCAAACTGGCTACAGACTTCCGGAACCTGGGCTCACTGAGCTGCGTTGGGTGTGGGGAAGAGCCCCGTGGTGGGTGCAGGATGGAACACAGGCCAGGCATAGGTGCAGTGTGGGGCTGAACCGGGCTGGAGCCTGGGGCTGAGCCGGGCCCCGGAGCCTGGGGCTGAACCGGCCCGCAGTGTGGGGCTGAGCAGGCCCGGAGTGTGGGGCTGAGCCGGCCCGGAGTGTGGGGCTGAGCCGGGCCAGAGTGTGGGGCTGAGCCGGGCCCCGGAGTGTGGGGCTGAGCCGGGCCCCGGAGTGTGGGGCTGAGCCGGGCCCCGGAGTGTGGGGCTGAGCCGGGCCCCAGAGTGTGGGGCTGAGCCGGGCCCTGGAATGTGGGGCTGAGCCGGGCCCTGAAGTGTGGGGCTGAGCCGGCCCAGAGCGTGGGGCTGAGCCACCCGCAGCGGCAGGGCAGGGCAGGGCAGTGGCAGGGCACAAGCACTCACTGGTATCACAGAGCTCGCCTTCCCAGCCGCTGGGGCAGAAGCAGCGGAAGGAATCCACCTCGTCAATGCACGTGCCCCCATTGTGGCAGGGCTGGCCCAAGCAGTCATCGATGTCTGCAGGAGAGGCTGCGTGAGCCCTCCCCAGGCCCCGGTCCTCCCCAGGCCCCAGCCCTCTCCAGCCCTCCCCAGGCCCCAGCCCTCCCCAACCCTCCCCAGGCCCCTGTCCTCCCCAGGCCCCAGTCCTCTCCAGCCCTCCCCAGGCCCCTGTCCTCCCCCAGGCCCTGGCCCTCCCCAGGCCCCAGCCCTCCCCTAGCCCTCCCCAGGCCCCAGCCCTCTCCAGCCCTCCCCAGGCCCCTGTCCTCCCCAGGCCCCGGCCCTCCCTAGTCCCCAGCCTTCCCCAGCCCTCCCCAGGCCCCAGGCCCCAGGCCTCAGCCTGTCACATGTAGCACTCACTCTCATGGCAGTAGGTACCCGTGAAGCCACTGTCACAGACGCAGGAGAAGTTTCCCCCAGGCTGGCTGACACAGTGTCCGTGGGGGCCACACACGCCGGTGGGGGCCACGCCAGACACCCCAGGCCCCACCTCAACCCCGCAACCGTCAACCACTGCGGCAGAGAAGCAGGGGTCAGGCTCCTCTCCCTCCCTCTGCCACCCACCCTCCCTCCGCAGCTGCTCCAGCACCTCTGCAGGCCCCGCCCGGACAGGGCTCCCTGGGCCACGAGCAGTTCTTGCCACCGAAGTCCTCAGGGCAGGCGCAGTAGTAGTCCCCGTCCAGGCTGTAGCAGTGAGCACCGTTTAGACAGGGGCTTGGCTCACAGAAGTCCACGTTGACCTGCGAGAGGAGGCACACGTGTCCCCAGGGACGGCCTAGGTGCAGGCGGCCTCAGACCCCTGAAGCCCAGCCTCAACAGCAGCCCCCAGCCCTGGGCATGCAGTGCCACCCCACGCCTGAAGCCCCCGCCCTGCGATCGTCCAGGACAGATCATCCAGGCCCCCGTTGGCAGGACGGAAGCACCTGTGGGCCCCCAGGCCCCTCCACCCTCGCTCCACAGCAGCAGGGCTTCCTACGCCTCCCACAGGCAGCATCCGGCCTCGGCTCCTCCCACCAACAGGAAAGCCAGCTCCTGACCTGCCACCCTGCCGGGACACCCGCACAGCCAAGAGCAAGAGCCTGCACCACCACCACCACCACCGTGCAGCCTGGGGCTGGCCCCGCCCCAGGAGGCTGACTAGGCAGAAGTCCACCCTCCACACAGAGGCCAGGGCAGGATCACACAGGGCTGGGAGGCGGGAAGTGTAGAAGGAGGGGACTGGGACCCAGTACAGTACTAAGGGAGACAAGGGCATCAGCCCTAAAGCCAGAGGGCCAGTCCTGCACAAAACATACCCTACTAGTCCTGAGGGCCTCGAGTGCCAGGCACCCCCTTGCCCCAGGCACCCTGACAAGCAGGCCCGGAGAAGCCTGACCCTGGCCACCCTGTAGACCTCCGCACGGCCATGCTCCCAGGAGCTGCGGCCCGTGGGCTGTAGAGCCCATTCCGCTGTGGCACTCAGTCCCTGGGCCGGGACGGGGTGGCTGAGCCACAGGCCTCACCTCACAGAGCGGCCCAGAGAGACCCCGGGGACAGCGGCAGCGGAAGCCCTCCTGCAGGTCCTCACACACGCCCCCGCCACGGCAGGGGCTGCTGGCACAGCCACCCTGCTCCAGCTCGCAGTGCCGACCTCCAAAGCCCGGGGGGCATACGCACTGGTAGCCATTCACCAGGTCCTGTGGAGGGCAGCAGGTGAGCCTCCTGCAGCCCCGGCACCCACCCGCCCCTGGCCCAGGCAGGCCACGGCCCCTGCACCCATCCACCCCCTGCACCCACCC